TTGACCGCTCCCTCGGGCCGGCGGGCGCAGGTACATGAGGGAGTTTGGCTTCGTCATCCCTGAGCGGTCGGTGGTGGTGGACGATGTGCGGGTGAGGGGCACTGGCTGCAGCGGCCTTCGCCTGGAGGACGTCGCCAAAGCCCAGATGGGGCCCCCTCGGGTAGACAAGGTCAGTGGCCCTGCCAGGCACACCCACCTGTGCCCTCGGGGACACGAGCGGAGGGGATGGGGAGGCGGGGGACCTGGGTGCTGGACCTCCTTCACCCCCACCTCCTCAGATGACCCAGTGCTACTTTGAGGGGGGCTATCAGGAGACCCCCGTGTTCCTGCTGGGAGAGCTGGGCTACGGGCACAAGCTCCAGGGACCCTGCCTGATCATCGACAGCAACAGGTGGGCTGAGGCCGCCAGGTCGGGTCCTGGGGGTGCAGGTCGGGGCCACAGCTCTGGGGGCCTGGCAGGGGGTTCTCTGGCCCGAGGCTGCAGGAATCTGGACTCTAGGGTCCCATTAGGTGGGACCCCCGCCTGGGGAAGCGAGGTTCCTGGTTGGGAGTGGGGTCTGGCTTGGCCCCTCCAGCCCCCCTGTGCCCCTGCCCCCAGCACCATCCTGGTGGAACCGGGCTGCCAGGCAGAGGTGACGGAGACCGGGGACATCCGCATCTCGGTGGGGGCCGAGACCTCCGGCACGGTGGGCGCCCAGCTCGACCCCATCCACCTGTCCATCTTCTCACACCGCTTCATGAGCATCGCGGGTGAGTGTGCCGTGCCGCTGTCCTCCCGGCCCTCCTCCCCGTGGGGTCCGGTGGGGGGTCTGCCAGCCAGGCACAGGCGGTGCAGAAAGTGTTGCCGGAGAGCGTGCTTCCCTCCGACAGCAGCCTCTGGTTGTGGGCAGGAGACAGGCTCTGGGCAGTGAACCGATCCGAGCAGGGCCAGGCCAGGGGCCTCAGGCTCTGGCGGTGCCTGGCAGGGCAGGGACTGATGTGGGACCCCAGGTTCTTGCTGGGGCTCCAGGCCGCGGTGGGGGAGGGCGAGACCTGGCGTCCAGGTGGGCGGCTGCTGCCTTTGGGGCTTGGCTCAGGGACGTGGGTCCTGCTGCTCCTACCGGGGGCGGAGCTGTGGGCGAGGTGGGGCCAGCAGCACCGTCACTTGTTCCTCCAGAGCAGATGGGCCGCATCCTGCAGCGCACGGCCATCTCCACCAACATCAAGGAGCGCCTGGACTTCTCCTGCGCCCTCTTCGGGCCCGACGGGGGGCTGGTCTCCAACGCCCCCCACATCCCTGTGCACCTGGGCGCCATGCAGGAGACCGTGCAGTTCCAGGTTGGCCAGGTCCCTCTTCCCGCCCTTCTCATCTGCCCCACCCCCAGCCCGCCCCTTCTCCTCCCCCAACCTGTGTCCTGGCTTCAGATCCAGCATCT